ATTTCTCCTCCTTTTAGTTGCTGGAGTATCATATGCTTTCATCTACCTAACTTGACTTTCTTATCTATTTTCTTCGTGTCCCTATAGGTGGCTTTTTGTCACAGAAGAGGACATCAAGAGCTTACCTTGTTTCCAGGTCGATTTCTTCTTTGCCATTCTGGTTTTGTGCTTTTATCTTGGATGCTTTATGGTTTCTGTACCATACTACGTTTTTAATATTTTCCATGTTGCTGTAGATTAACTTTGTGTCGTTGCTTCTTTAGAATGAAACCTTAATTGCTATCAAAGCTCCACATGGAACCACTCTTGAAGTGCCAGATCCTGATGAGGTAATTATGAGGACATGTTAAATGAAGAAAAAATTCTGTCATGTTAGGTATCTGTTTCTAAACATTTTTTTTGAAGAAGTCACGTTGTGTTAGATATCTTTCTACACAGTTTTTTCGTATCTATCTTATGTATAATAAAAAGCTCCATGTTTGGTTAGAGTTTTTTGAATGTGTTCAGAAGCAAATTTGAGATAATAGGCTCTTTCGTTGAACCATTTTCTAATATTTCTAATCATCACTGCTAATATAGAAAGTTCCAGAGAATGAGAAAGGACTTCTAAAGATGGATAATAAGTGTTCCTTTGTTAAATTTGATAATCATTTATGATAAGTGGTAAAAAGAGGAAGTGTAAGGTCAGCAGTTAATCTAATTTAATGAAGAAGTCAATGTTCTTTTGAGAATAGAAAAGAGAGCCGAGAAAATAGAGATGTTTTGGGAACAGAATTAGCAACAAATTCAAACTGTTCGCTTGATGTTTCTGTGTGCAAATTTGTCATTTTTGTCTATCTTTTGCGCCAGGCTGTTGACTATCCTCAGAGAAGGTATAGGATTGTTCTGAGGAGTACAATGGGCCCTATAGATGTTTACCTTGTCAGGTATCGTTGTCTTCTGTTGCTTACAAGATTATTAATTCTGCTAGCAGCTAAGCTCTTGCTAAGAAGATCATACCCTGGGGGTGATGGCACAAATGATGACTGCAGTTACAATTGAAATCAAATTGTTTACTGATATATCTTTCTTTCGTTCATTTAATTAATAGTCAATTCGAAGAGAAATTTGAGGAAATACATGGTGTTGAGGCACCTCCAGATGTTCCATCAAGTTCAGGCTTTCATGAAAACACAGCAACAGCTATTATGACAGATGACAGTAGAGAGAAGCTTGAAATGGAGGGACAGGATATGCATCAGACATTCTCAGATGTCAACTCGTCACAGGACTTTGTTAGTGGGATCATGAAAATTGTTCCTTCCGAGATTGATGTAAGTCTAGTTTCTACACTATATAATCTGCTTATCACAAAAATATAAACACTTTTATCTTTGGTAGATCTGCCAGGTAAATTACAATATTTAATAGAACTACTTTTGTTTTGTTTTATTTATCTTTCTGAAATTTAAGATGGCCATAAAAGATTTTCGGAAGTACTTCATTGGTAGCTTTAACCAGGGATGCTTTAGAAAATAGTTAATGCAGTCATAATAAAACTTTTAGAGGTTGTCTTGGTTGGTTTATCTTTTTCGGTGCTTTAAGCTCCAATGAATTTCGATCTAGAAAACTTTAGAACACTTGGCTGTCAAACGCTTAGTGCAATTAAAACTTATAAAGTAATAAGAAGGGTAAAAATTACAAAAAAAAGAAAAATTTATTGATCTTTTAGTTAAAAAGTTGGAATGAATTATTCAAGCATATTGGAGGATATGTGAAGACTTGGAAAATGGGCTCTTTTACTTATTATTTAAAGCCGTAAGGAAAAAAAAAGTTGGTCTCATCAGCTCTCTTTTTTTCTATATATTTTCTACTAAACCCAGTAACTTGTAGTCATTTTGGTGTAACCAAAAATACTCTATAGCATTTTCCTTTTTTTTTTTTTTCAAGTCATTTGACTAATAAGAAAACTCATTCCAAACCACACTAACTTTTTTGCTCTTTTGAAATAAAAATTAATCTACACTGTTTGGAAGAAATCAATTTCACTACTTGTGGAATTTGTTTGTAAATCAATATTCGCCCAAGTGCAGTGATTCAAATGAATTTAACAAAATTTTTAAAATATAATGATTACTTTTAAACATCAACATTCAGTTGTGAATGAATTCCTTGTTAAATTCACTTGCAGTTCTTCATTTTTCTCCAAACAAACCCTTGCTAAAGTTTTTCTTGGCTAGTCCATGTAATACTGATTTTGAGTTTATATTCCTTGATCTTTTGCAGAGTGATTCAGACTACTGGCTTTTATCAGATGCTGGTGTTAGCATCACAGACATGTGGCGAACGGAACGTATCCTTCCTAATACATATGATACTACCCTTTGTAATTTAAGTTCCTCTTCCTAATACTTTTTAGCAGTAAAAACAGAATTCCCTGACTCTCAACTATAGCTGGGGTTGAGTGGAATGACTTTGATGTTCTAGGTGAAGACTATGCCATTACGAACATGAATGCAAATGTAACGCAGCCCCAAACACCGCCGCTGCCGCCGCCACCACAAAATCCCCCGAATCCCGGCGAAATGCCTTCTACTGCTAATTCTACTGGGACCTAAGCA